CTAGGTGGGTAAAACGCGGAACTCTCATTTTAAAAGGTCTTCCCGGGTGAATTTCGGAAAGAAAAAAATCAGAGGAGTTGTTGAGAATATAATACATTTATCCAGATTAAAATTAAAACATTGTGACGATTTTTAATGTTGGTTCTGCAGCGCTAAAGATGCCCCCTCCTACGGCATCGGAGCCAGTACGTGTATACTGCACATACCGTGCAATAGGCCAATTTGCACAAAAAACCTAGGTGGGTAAAACGCGGAACTCTCATTTTAAAAGGTCTTCCGGGTGAATTTCGGAAAGAAAAAAATCAGAGGAGTTGTTGAGATATAATACATTAATCCAGATTAAAATTAAAGATTGTGACGATTTTTAATGTTGGTTCTGCAGCGCTAAAGATGCCCCCTCCTACGGCATCGGAGCCAGTACGCGTATACTGCACATACCGTGCAATAGGCCAATTTGCACAAAAAAAACCTAGGTGGGTAAAACGCGGAACTCTCATTTTAAAAGGTCTTCCCGGGTGAATTTCGGAAAGAAAAAAATCACAGGAGTTGTTGAGAATATAATACATTAATCCAGATTAAAATTAAAAGATTGTGACGATTTTTAATGTTGGTTCTGCAGCGCTAAAGATGCCCCCTCCTACGGCATCGGAGCCAGTACGTGTATACTGCACATACCGTGCAATAGGCCAATTTGCACAAAAAACCTAGGTGGGTAAAACGCGGAACTCTCATTTTAAAAGGTCTTCTCGGGTGAATTTCGGAAAGAAAAAAATCACAGGAGTTGTTGAGAATATAATACATTATCCAGATTAAAATTAAAAGATTGTGACGATTTTTAATGTTGGTTCTGCAGCGATAAAGATGCCCCTCCTACGGCATCGGAGCCAGTACGTGTATACTGCACATAACGTGCATAGGCCAATTGGACAAAAAAAACCTAGGTGGGTAAAACGCGGAACTCTCATTTTAAAAGGTCTTCCCGGGTGAATTTCGGAAAGAAAAAAATCACAGGAGTTGTTGAGAATATAATACATTAATCCAGATTAAAATTAAAAGATTGTGACGATTTTAATGTTGGTTCTGCAGCGCTAAAGATGCCCCCTCCTACGGCATCGGAGCCAGTACGTGTATACTGCACATACCGTGCATAGGCCTATTTGCACAAAAAACCTAGGTGGGTAAAACGCGGAACTCTCATTTTAAAAGGTCTTCCGGGGAATTTCGAAAGAAAAAAATCAGAGGAGTTGTTGAGAATATAATACATTATCCAGATTAAAATTAAAAGATTGTGACGATTTTTAATGTTGGTTCTGCC